TTCCTTGTTACATTTTCAGAAACAGCTGTGTTTCCACTCTTAAGCCATAACAGGAGAAATACTGTACAATCCTGATACTACTTGAAAACAACCCTGTGCCATTTACTGGGGCCCCTCTGAGTGGATTTTACAGCACACTTGAGAAAAAGAGTCAATAGAGACACCTCCGATTTGAGAAGAAGAGTGGGGAATGTGTGACGCTCCAGATGTTGGTGAACTGCAGTTCCTATTAGCCCCAGTAAGCAAAATCTATCAATACAGTATCTGCAAAACTACACTTTCCTCACTTCTGCCTCGAACACGGTTATGGACCAAATTGGACACTGCTTTCATGATATATGAGTGCCTGCAGATCATGTTCCTGATAGCATGAAACGTAACTGTGGAAAAGCTGGCCCATGCAACAGGAGCATATAATGTGTTTCCTGCCCATTGCAGCATTCCCCTAATTTTCAGTTTGTGGGCTCTTATTATGAGACCTACATCACTTGAACTTATTAAACAAGTGCAACATGAGCACATGCCGCAGAAATGCACAACAACAGAACTTATCACTAAGGGCCTCAGTTACAACAATTGGGCCCTCTAATCAACTCTTAGAATAAACAAAAAGTAACTAAATATGACTGAAATTTATCTGGCATTTTACTCGTAACCCACTCTCCCCTAGTTGCCAATATAGTCATAGGTTATGAAAACTATACAGGTTGCTAAGATTAGAGAGAGAGAAATTGTGCTTAAGATAAATGTAGCATTACTCTTTCATTTGTAAAGGAGTGCACTGGAACGGAAGTTTCTCAATGAATGATTCTTCGACCTAATGGATTAATAGCAACTTCAAGCATTTTTCTTAAAAACAGTAGCTACCAACTAGAATTACAACTTTTGAAATATATCCAGAAGTCTCACTAGCCTCCACAAAATCTAACCAACCCCCTTTGCTGACACAGATGTATATTAATCTATCTGTGACACATGGAAAGGGGGCAGTGAAGGAGACATGCCTCCTCTAGTTGTAAAAACTACCTTGTCAGGTCACTTGATTGACAAATCTTACTCATCACAGATCACCAAGTCTCAGCTTTTACTACAGTCAGTGGTAGAAACATCCACTCAACTAATTCATACAGGCGATTTCTTATAGTATTGGAAGGAAAAATAAGAAAATGGCTTTAAGGTTCAAACAATAAGCAACAGTACCAATGGTTCCTTACATACAGAAATTATCACTTATTTTAAAATAAATATTACATGTCCACATGGTAGATACTTCATTGAAGAAGTCTTCAGACAATTTCAAATACAAATATAATAAACACAAACTAATAACAAAGATAGCTCACGAAGGGATAAAATTATAAAATATTAAAATTATGTGTACAATTTAGTTGGTCAATTAATAATAGTAAAATAAACTTCTAATATTTTGCTAGGAATAAAAGTATTACGTGGGTCATTTAAATAGTCTTCTTTTTCCCTGAGAACAGCTGCTTGAACTGCAAAGAGGGCAACTCTCTGTGTCACAAAGTGATTGGGCCCTTGTGAAAAGAAGTTCCGCTTGTTCTCAACCTCCTGCTCTCTCATGCTGCGAAGGAAAGGGGCTAAATAGTATTCTCTATTGCTGGAGTATAGCTGGCAATACAGTTAACTGTGGACAAGATCTTCCACTTCGGCTGCCCTATATATGCAAAAGTCTGTCTTGTACTGGAATGCCCTGAAATCTTCCTTGTTGCAGAATCATATCCATTCACTCATAACAATGACAAGCAAATGCTGTGCATAAATCTTTTTTCATTGGGAAATGCCGACCATTTCATAGATCTTACAGATGACAAGTTGGCTATATCCAGCCGTGCTCTGATATCTTTGTTTGAAAGTATTTCACATATCGAAATTGAACATACCGGCAGTCTCAACATTAAAACCATAATTTGAACACAATTTTGAAAAACATAAAGAACCAGACTTTTATGATGTTTTAATCATCTGTTCATTTAAATATACCTTGGGAGACCTGATCACTCATTTGAGCTAATTTATTTCTATAATTAAATATCCTGAGAAGGCAGAGATCCGACACAGAAGCCATTCCAAACTCAGCTCTAATCACTGGGCTCGGGAGGCTCTTGACACTTCTAAAATTTAGAATTGATTTTGACTGTAGTGTTTATTAGACTAATTGGCCTATAGTTTCTAGGGGCTTTTAGGTCTCCTTGTTTAAATGATGGAACAACTATGCTGAGCTTCCAGCTGCTTCGAATGCACCTAATATTACTTATGTAATATTACTTTTGATTTTCTTCTCTCCTTTATTGCAAAAACAAATCTGCCAGTAAGGCAGCCCACCAATCTACTGTGTTTTTAAAACATTCAGATGGCATGAAATCCTCTTTTATTAATATTTATTACTATTTATTTCATTTTTATACTGCCCATCTAACCAAGGACACTCTGGATGGGTTTCAGCATATATAGTATTATATTTATATTATATTTATTTTATTTATATCCCGCTTATCTAGTCGATAGACCACTCTAGGCGGCTTACAGCAAGGGGTACAACAATAAATACAACAGAATTACATAAAGGAAAACTTTCAACAATTGATTTAAACACTAGGAAAGAAAAGAGAAGGGGAATCAGTATCATTTAAAATGACAAAAAATATATAAATAATACAATACAAATAAACAATAAACTCTACTGGGACTTTGCTATTCTTTAATGCATGTATAAGAGGTGCACATGCTTGCATAGTGTTAAGAGGCTATTTAGGAAGATACCATATTTTTCGCTCCATAAGACACACCTTTCCATAAGACGCACCAATTTTTTAGGAGAAGAAAACAGGAAAATATAATCTGTTTTCTTCGCTCCATAAGATGCACAGACTTTCCACCCCCGTTTTGTGGGAAAAAAGTGTGTCTTATGGTGCAAAAAATACGGTAATTTATGTTCCAAATAATTTTTTCCATGTATGATGTACTATCTGCTTTTATCTGCCCCCTAAATAAATCAGAATAAAAACCTTCCCAAGCTGAGGAGATACAAGTGTCTCAAAAATATGCTAACATTCACTTAATTTTTCAGTAACTATCAAAGTTCTGCTGAGTTCTTGCTTGTCACCTCCAATTCCAAATCTGCCCAGCTTTTAGCAGCATAACTGGCTTTTTTAAAAAGTTGTAACTAATTTTTTTGTATTCCCTTCTAATAATGAGCATGGATCAATCTTCCCCCTAAGCTGCGTGCACGTGCACAGAGCTCCATCAGGACTGTACAGTGTCAGCTGGTGTTCTCGCTCATTTAGTTACGGTTCCAGCTTAAGTCCCAACCCCGCGTGCACATACAGGATGAGGCTCCTGCGCAACAACGCTGGAAATTAGAGGGAATGTTGGCATGGATGTATAAGCTCTGTTGTCTGATGAGTTATTAATTTTTTTCATTTGTTTCCACAAATGTTTCTTCAGTCTGCAACATTCAGCATCAGACCAAGAGCCATTTGCTAACCTCAGATAATAATAAAGGTTTAACTTTGGAACAAATAGCCTGATATGCACCCAAGACATTTAAATCTACTTTTGTGCACTATATCCAGATGTTCTGTCATCTGCTCATCTACCTATGTTGCTTTTCTTAAGTCAGATTCTAGAGTTGTGTAGATATACTGTCGGTTGATGATCACTGTCTTCTCTGACGTTTGCTGAGATGCCAGAAAAAATATGGCTTTTACAGTATGTCTTGGCATACAAGTATAGTCAATAATGCTACCTGCATTACAAGGACAATCTGTAGCCATTTAGGGCCAAGAATCTGCAATCCAAATGTAAACAACAGTCCCAGCAGTTTTTACCCAGCTTAGTTTATTTTGTTATCATTAGACAGCCAGCAGAACATCTCTTCAAGTTCATTCTGAAGTTCTGATAGCTCTGCAAATTTTATGGCAGATAATCCAATTTGGGCATTAAAATCACCCATCATAACAATTAAAGCATTTGGGAACCCTATAGCAAACCCTCCATCAATAGTTGCAGAGGTGAGCAGATATCAGCAGAGTAATACTGAAAATTTTCTAGAGGAATATAAATATTAACCAAAATTAGGGCTGAAGTTAAAGCATGAAATGTAACTACTAAACCATTTTGAGGTGTTAATATTTGTCACTAACTCTCTTCCCCATTCTAAACCTTCTTTAGCCACAGTTAGTAAATCTCCTATAGCTGTTCCATTATCTTTAATATTCTAAGCTGGATCAAACCATGTTTTATACCCCAACAATACCTTATTGCCTTTAGTTGCAAGACATGTTTCTTGGAGGGCAATAAATCAAAATTAGATAAAGATTCAATGAAATTACCCCCATGACAGAAAGCATTCCAACCAGTTATATTCCAGGATACCATTTTAACCATCAGTCAGCCACACTAGACGCTGTTCCAAGTCCTCCATACAGAGCACATTACCATAGTCTTTCGAGACTGACGGATGCCTAACTACAGTAATTTTAATCAGTGTTATGGATTGATGCAATGAACTGTTTGGTGATGAACTTGCATTCTCACCATGCTCAGAATCATGTGGGGGTAGGAAGGGTGACAAGTGGTCCTCAATGTGTGCAAGTGAACCACACTATATTGAATGAACTCCATGCCTTTTTCTACAGAGTTGGGGGTAGGAAGGGTGATAAGTGGTCCTCAATGTGTGCAAGTGAATGAACTCCATGCCTTTTTCTACAGAGACAGCTGAAAAGGGTACCAGAGAATAAGAGGAGCTGGATAATAAAGGGAGGGTTTGGTTGGGAATTTCCCCCATCCACTGACACCATCTAGCTTGCCAGATTGCTCTCATAAAGGCAAGCTGGCCTCTGGGACCAAAACATTTCCCTAAACTTATTATATCCTTATTTGTATTTGCATCATTAATACCTATGTTCGCAAAAGCACTAAGGAAACTTTTAAGAAAATACTGCCAAGTTATAGATGTCAATCAGTTAGTGTCTTACCTTGTAGCAAGCTTATGGCAAATGACACCAGTGTCTGTTATAACTTCACTCAGCCTCAACTCTAAATGGACCTTTCCCTGAAACACAGAATGGCAAAGCATGATGTAAAAACTGTATGTAACTTGTGTAATTCTTAAAGCAAGCTGCCACAATTTAAAATGTCAGGAATACAAGTCATATACAACTTTGAGTGACCAAATAAACCTCCATAAGTTGCACAATTCAATCAATAAACAATGACATGACAGCTTATCTGATAATATAAAATATCCAAATAATATCATCTGAATATACTAGCAACGTTCACAGTATCCAAAGTAGCTTCAGATGTCCAGGGGAAAAGACATAAAATCAGAAGTTATTTCACCAATTCACTGATTATTTAAAAATAAAGATGTGGTGTAAATACATTATGTATGTGTGTATGAAGAATATACTGTTTCTAAGCAAGCAGCCCAAGATGCACAAGCCAGAGCCCAGTACGTAAGCCATTTGCTTAGAACTGAAGAATTCTGTGCCAAGGATTTTTTGCTGATCGTTCTGTACAGCCTTGGACAAGCTTTACAATCCGAGAGTGCTCCTAAAAGAAGGCAAAAGCAATCCATTTGAGTACTTGATACCTAGAAAACTCAGCAAAGGGTCACTCTAAGTCAGAATCAAATTAGGGCACATTATGATTATTAATATTACCATCACTAGTGAACACCATCCTTCCATACAAGACACCTACTGCTGCTCTTACCCTGCTTTTCTTCAATTCACTAGCATAATTTTGAGTAAAGGTGTTAATTTTATGCTTTGTTAAACAGCTGGAAGTCAGAAATCCTCATCAATACCAAGTGATCCAGATCTACATTCTCTACTGTTCTAGGTTGCTGTGAACATATATTGAAGATGGTGTGACAGCTGCGGAAAACACTGCCAAACAGAAAATGCTTTCTGTAATTGCAGCCGAAAGAATGCTCTAATTGGCTTCCTTTTCTACCACTGATTTTACAACTTTGCTCACCCAAATCAGTTTTCCTGACTCAGCTCTTTATATGGGAGTACAAAACAAGAGATGCTATAGATAGATGAATTAGAGATTATTTTTTTTATCAGAGATGAAATCGTATGTGTGCTTCAGTGACATGATGATATAAGCCATCTTTCATGTTTGAGAAATTATACTTCAAAGGAATCCTGTGCTTAAGTCCTCAAGACTGATCACAAGGCAAACCAAGCTAAGCTGCATACTCTAGGAAGTGAGATAAACTTCTGGTGTGACGCTCATAATTAGCCTTTCCCTCTTTTAATCATAGTATTTCTATTAAGTCTGTTACTGCCCTGGGATAAAGCAGAATCTTGTTAGGTGTTTGCCCCTTGCAAGGCTGCACATGGCCTGTGTAAACTGTGACATATAAACTGCAAATACAGTGAGAACAGAACCAATTATAGGAACTCATTTTCAAAAGACCAATGATAATAATGAGATAAAGTATAACAAAGACTATGCTTTTTTGACAATTACAATATTTCCCAGAAAGGAACAAAGGTGTAATTTAAGCCCAGACATATACAATGATATAAATAACTGAATTCAAGACATTTAAACTGATAGTATATTTTTAGGAGATTTTACATAGGGATGGGTGTTTATATTTAAACTAAAGGGTGGGAAATGAAAGAGACCTTCTTTTTAATGTTCATGTTATTTCATTGATTACTGAAAGAGAGTTCCTTCAACATAAATGGTTTGTTTTAACAAAAGATGGTACCCAGATGCTGTTTTACCTCTTTTGCTTAATGATATTTTCACATTTTCTCTGTTAAACAGCCCAGGAAACTTTTCATCTAATAGTGTCATAAGGGCTGCTGAAAGCAGCCAATCACAATATCCAGGGAGACAGAATAGGAACTTTGGATCTGTGAAATGTCCTGGATGAGTTAGAACCCAATGAGGAGTGCTTTTTCCACCTTCAGTCATTCCATGCGGATGTATTGTGCTCCCTGTATCTTGAGTCCTGCTTGCCTGGACTGCCTGTTGGATTCAAGAGAAGAGGAGGAATGAAGTAGGAAAGAAATCTTCCTACATTTTAGCATTGGGACTGTGGTGTGATTGTATTTCTTGCCTTGATTTCCTTGATTGTTGTGAGAGGGGGTTGTAGTGTGCTATTTCTTCCCTGGTGTTTGTGTAGATAAGTGTTTTTAAGGTGAAAGTTTCTCAAAAACAATGAGTGTTTTGCTCATGATAAAAGGAGTTGCCAAAGGCCTGAACTAAATGCTATGGGAAATACAGGCTTGTCACCAAAAAACAGTTGCCACACATCAAATTTCCCATTTATGGAAATATATGAGATGATTGTCATACTTCTTTCCTTTCCTCGCTGCCAATAATATGCAGGAAGTACAAGGAAATACATAATATGGTCACTCATTTCCCTAATGTGACATTGTATAAACGGTAGAGAGATAAAATATCTTGGTGCTATTTTTTAGCAAGAAATACATTTTTAACATAATGAATGGCCTGAGCCCTACTCAAAGACTGGTTGCAAATACACACTGAGGTGAAAGCTGTGAACAACAATAGTTAGCATTTATACAGCACATTTTCTAGTGTTCAGAGTGTTTCACATCTATGTTGTTACTAACTTCTTCCACATTCCTAATAGATAGGCAGTATTATTATTATGAATGAACAAGTAAGTCTGTTTGCACTTCACGATACTTTCATGTGTTAAGAGGTCATTAAAACTGTTACCTCCTTTTTCTATACCAGTCTGTTTCTTCCTTCCTCTGAACATATGTATTTGCATACATTTGTATGCATATATTTCTGAGCTAAGAATAGCATTGGAACTTTTGGGAAATAAGGAACCTGTGGAAAGCTAAGTTCCAATACGCATATTAATCCAGAAAATCAAGCCAGTTTGTACCGGAATTCACACAGAGTAAATTTCACAAACAGAGATGAGGAACATGTAGCCTTTCAGAAGTTGTAGCCAGCACCACCAATTGAAAAGGATGGTATGTCTTCTTGTGCAGAGAACATTAAGGCCACATATTCTCCATCTCTGCTTAGGCTGGGGGAGGGGGGACTACAAACTTGTACCTTTTAAAATAGAATTGAGTATTGAAAAAAATATGAATAGGCAGAACCCAAGTGTGGGCTTTCTTTAAAGCATTCTTGTTTCAGTAATAGGCCTTGATAGACCGTGCACTAAATGCTTCTCTGTAAACAGCATACTCTTGCCCATGTCAGTTTTGCCCTGGGGTGAAACACAACCACCCATTAAATAATTTTCTGATGGCTCTGTGATTCAAAGGCCTACCACAGCACTAGATAAAGTGTCTCACAAAGCACTCCTCTTAGAGAACAGCAATCTGCTCTGCAAATTTGCTTTATAATCAGGTCATTCAATTTTTTTTAGACTGATAGGCTTAATTTCTAAAATACACAGAGTGAAATAATCAATAGCTAGACCAGAATAATCTAAAAGTATATACTGTACATTTCACGACAGGAAAGGAAAAGTAACAAAGGTCATTACAAAATGGAAAAGGAGGAAGAAACAAATTATTATTCATTTTACACACACACACACACACACACACACCTTTTCCTTAGGACTACAGTCTATGACAAAAAATGACCACCACACTACTGGCTTTTTACTGATAATTTTGTGGTCACTTTCGAAAGGAACAGAGAACTCCCTGCTGAGAGAGAGGAAACCTTAATATTTATGCATCTATTTACTTATTTATTTATTTGCAAAGAAGCAGACAGAGAAGTATTGTAGCATTTTTAAGATCCTGAAGACTTAATGCATTTAGTTCAGTTTGAGTTTTTGTGGATTACAATCTACTTCTTCAGAGAGAGAGAGAGATGGCTCTACTCCCCACCAAGAACCAGAACAATCTGATTTCTTGCTCAAATGCCGGATATGCATGTCAGAGGGCCCTTCCTCCCCCACAGACACTCTGCTTATATGAATAAACCAATGAGCAAATGGAGCAGACTAGCTTCTCCCCTCTAGCAAAGCTAAATACTTCCTGATTTTACAATAACTTAACAGGGCTTTGGTATCAAGGCATCTCTGTCTAGCACCTTGAAGTGGCAGCTGCTGAACCTTCCCTCAACCTTCTAGGGAACAGGCAGTGGAGAAGAAAACATACTCATTACTAAGCATCTGACATAAACTCAAAACCGTGAAAGGTTTCCCTAGAAAAAGCAGCAAGGTCATTTTCCCCCCATTTCTTTTAAGTGCATCGAAGACAATGTCTAAATGCAAACTCCTCTCTGATTTACCCCATGCAGCATAAACCCTGTTTAAACCTAGGAGGAAGCAAAGTCCATGGTGCATCAAGATGCAATTCTTGCATTCCACAAGAGCTTCCATTTTGTGTACCGTATAATTGAAACCCACACAATTTGCTGATCTTTTGGGTAAATTCCTTCAATAAGACTGGCGGGGTTTTCTGAGGATGCTTCGTAAAGTACAGTGATATCATTGGCATCCCAGTACTGGATGGTGCTCAAGGGACTCCTTTGTAGTAGCTCAGAGGCCCAGACTGATGAGTCATAACGCCAGCTCCATGAACCTCCTGAAAGCACATGTCCCGTGGTGTCTGAGAAGACAAATACAAGTAGAACGGGGGAAAATACTGAAGATAAACGCAGTGGCATTAAAAGGTCAGATGAAATAGCTGACTGCAGAGCACATTTGTTCTCAGATATTAGTGGAAGGACAGAATGGGATGAACACAGAAAGACAAAAGGAGGCAGAAAGAGCTGAAGACAGAGAAAAGCGGCATAAATGAGGAAGTGGAATGATAAGAGTGAAAAGAAATGTAAAAATGTACAGTATATGAATCGGGTGTGTATGCAGCTTTAGCTCCACTCACTTTTGACTCTGGCCCTGCCCACTGCCAGCTGGCCCTATGCAAGGGCTCCACAAAAATCTTTAGCCCATGGGCAGAAAAAAGGTTCCTTGCCCTTGACTTGCTGGTATTAAGTCAGTGGGCTAAGAGACTGTAAGATTTATCTTTCTTCTGAAGAAGACAACCTGTAAATATTGTATTGACATGCAAT